AAAAAAAAAAAAAAAAAAAAAAAAAAAAAAAAAATCAAAGATCTAAAAGGAGAATAGGGGAATAGGGGAATAGAAAGGAATATGACCAAAACAATACTGAAATCCTGAAGGGCAAATATTAAATCCTTTAGCTGTATGTTCAGCATCCAGGTAATGTGGTAGATGATGTGAACCCCAAAGGGCCTGGGCAACCCTGTTCCTATGGCCTTGCTGATTGCAGCCCACATGGCTTCTGTCTTAAACTGGCTGTGCTTACTACCTGTAGCTATCCTGGGTAGGCATTTCATTTTCTTAGCATCTCCAATTTCCTGGAATCTCTACCACAGTTTTGGATCTATTCTGATAGCTTCATGCACTGCCCTTTCAGGGGCTCCTGACAGAGACTTTACCCCTGTGACACACTGCCTAATCTCCCAGGCCTTTCACTGAAATCTGAGACCCTGTGGTACTTGCATTCTGCGAGCCTATGAACCAGTGTCACAAGGATAATGCCAGGTCTACTGCCTGTTTAAGAAGTGGTTAGCCCCGCTTGGACCTTGGCTTCTGAGTGCTGGACAACTGAGCATGATGAAATGCATCCAAGGGAACTAATTCCCTAAGGGGTCCTTCTCCAGCAGGAAGGCCAGAGATTCTCTTCTTAAATGACCCTGAGCCTTCAATGGATGGGTCTTGCTGATTCCTGTGCTGCTCTCAAGTCATCTTTGGTAGTTACCTCATGAAAAGTACTTGGTTTCTTTTGAATAGTGCTGATCTCTTCAGCAACCCTGTTTTCCTGGGTCCCAACTTGACTAGAATTTCTTTTCAGGTCAGATTGCAAGATTTTTTCATCTTTGTTCTCTGCTTTTTGTTCCTTATTCTCACTATAGATCTGCTAAAAACAGCTAGCAGTCCCTATGCCATTGCTTGAACATTGGCTGCCTTGATATTTCCTCCACCAGAACAATTAGTCACTCTTAAACTGAGCTTCACATAAAGCTTTAGGCCATGGGCTAAATGTAGTCAGAATCTTTATCCAATGTAATACATATGGACCCTAGTTCAATTCCCAATAGAGTCCTCATTCCCACTGGAAACCTCATGCAGTCTTCCTTATCTGTATTCCTATCAGCCCTCTGGTCTTCTGAGCTCCCACTACAAATCTCTACTTGTGGTCTTCTAGACCTTCACTAGCCCTCATCTCCAAACCTTTCCAAACTCTTCCTGCAAACCAGTTGTTGCAAAGGTTTCTGAACCACATGGTTAGGTATAGTTACAGCAATAACCCCACTCTTGGTACCAGTTTTCTGTGTCAGTCAGATTTTCACCACTGTGATTAAATACCTGACAGAAACAACTTAAGGGAGGAAGAGTTTATTTTGGCTCACAGTTTCAAAGATTTAACTCCATGGTCAGCTGGCTCCAGGGAAGAAATATTATAGCAGAAAGGTACCAGGAAGAAAAGCTCCTCCATTCATGACATTTGGGAAGTGCAGGGAGCAAGGAAGAGTCAGAAAAGAAGGAGCCAGAGACTGAACATACTGCCTAGGTCATATTCCCATGACCTATCCAGAAGTGTGCTTTACTAACCTTGTAGGGATCTCTCAAGCTGATCAAGTTGACAATCAAGATGGACCATTATAAGCCACCTTACTTCATAAGAAAAGTTTGTTTTGCTCACAGTTTTAAAAGCTGAAAGACAAATACTAAGGTGGCAGACCTAGAGAGGCCCTCTTGACAGATACTGGATGCAAGTGCAGAGGGACATCTCATCTCAAAATTTGAGAGAGACTCGGGTCAGGGTCAGTCTTTTATAACATCTCACTCTCATAAGAACTCATTCCAGGAGACCAACGTATGCTTCTGAAGGCAGCCCTGCCAATATCTAAGGACCTCTGAACATTTATATCAACTCCTGTATCTCCACACTAGCGACTATACTCCTAACACACGGACCTTTAAGTGACAGACAATAACCAAAATTTAGCAGCTATATATAAAATTGGTAATATGGAATAAAACATAGACATACTTTGACCTCCAGTATGTAAGTAAAAGTTATCAAATTCGCTGCCAACATTTAAAAGTTAAAGGATTTCACATGAAAATCCTTTTTCCTGATTTCTGACTCCTGAAATCCAGATCTTGAAACTAGGATTATCTGACAAAAGTGGGGTCTCATTACTACATGGCAACAATGAGCTAGAGATCAATTGGGAATATGTATAGGTTGTCTTGTTGACATAGTTCCCATCATTCCTTTATTTTCATCCTAATCAAAGTCTTCACTTACCTATTTTTTTTATTGTCTTGTTTAAGCATTTGGGACCCCAGATACAACCCCCCCACCAAACAATAACAAAAAAACCAAACTCATTCCAGAGATAGTGTTTCTCCTTAGCTGGTATATTTACACCTGCTTTAAGATATCCACAAAGTTAATTCAGGTTTATTAACAAACTACAAAGTCTGGTAATTAATTCTCAACTTGATTTGAACTTCACGTGGCCTGTTTAACAATCCAGGTGGCAGCTTGACTCATCATCCATACTTGGGAACCTGTTCCTTTTCTCATAGGTCTCCATGAGAGTGATCAGTGTCTCTGTTTCTGCTTTAAACAAAGGGGGCTTCATGACTCTGGCTCCTGAACTGTCCATCCTTCAATACATTGTGTAGAAGCAATATTTGTTTGCTGCTACCATTTTATTTTAAAATAATTTTGAGGTGAAAGGTGAGATAACAGTGTTTCCTTTCAGATCAAAGTTGTATGTGCTTAGTTTATTTGCCTTGACAGGTTTTTTTTTGTTCCTCAGCGTAGATTCAGGCTTCTCAGACGGACAGACTGTGACTCTGTTGATGTTTATTGGACTCTGGGCTTGGCTGTCAATATTGTTGATGAACCTCTGATTAATTTTTAACAGGTTAACCTGTGGTCCCACGACTGGCTGATGAAATCTCTCCTTTTCAACTTGGGATGATCCATGCAGTTATAACTTTCTCTGTTCTATTTAATAAATATTTATGAAGCAATGAAGAGGGGCTAGGTGTTTGAGCATGGTCCTGATAAGCACCTAAGGAACTGGAAAACAAGCCAGATTGTGAATAATGTTGTAAGTGCAATAAAGACTGTAGAATCAAATAGGATGGAGGAGATAGTATTTGGCCTGCTATGTCTCATAGTCTTTCAACTCCAATTATTTTTATACCTATAGCATTGCCCTCTTAAAATATATGAAATTACATGCATTTTATCCAAAGAGTTCACTAGATAAAAAATGAAATATTTGAAGCCATTCATGCAATACATTTACTTTGTCACCAAGAGTCATTTAGAATATTTATTTCCATGTATCATGAGTACTTCTACCACCTGGCTGTTACCTATTGTAACTAATTGGCTTTCACAGTATTTTCAGTGAGTTTTATTAAATAGAAATTCAGGAGAATGGCATGAAGTCAAAAGTTTTCTTCTAGCTGATGATTTTTGTAATAAAGATAGTCTTTTTTTGTAAAATTTTAAAACGAGTACTTGTATAAATTGTTCCAGAACCCAGAAACAATACCCACTATGGCAGTGAAGACAACAGAATAGGGAGTCACTGGGAGATATTTTCTAGTTATGTCATTTAGAGAAAGTTATTTAAGTTCTGTGAGCTTGAAACACAGAATAAGTTTAATAATGCCAGCTTACAAGATTTTATTGAGAAATTACATGATATCTTCTTTTATTGGCAGTTTCATGTTGGTGATGTTTAGTTTAGTTTATTATAGTTGTAGTTGGGTTTTTTTTTTTGTCCCCGCCCCCTTGGTCAATAGAAAATGATGATCTACTAGATTTCTGGGCCAGTGGTATATTCTTAAGGGTTACGAATTAAGCTTTTGAGGATGCAGAGTGGTTATTGGTCTCTAAGGCTAGCCTAAAGCCAATTAATTTCCTTTTATTCTTACTTTTTTTCTGTACACAGGAGAGTGGAAATTTTTATCTCATAAGAGCCTGAAAAGACTCTGAGGCCACCCCCAGTAGTAAGCATTTGTACATGTGAAGCCCTGTGCAAGCCCTTCCCATATATCATTAGCATAATCTGTAATCTTCACTGCAGTATTATGCAGGGGGTATTATTATTCCCATTTTATGGATAAGTAACCAAGGTTTGAGAAGTTAAGTAACTCACCTGGAATCCTTCTGTTAAGTAAGTTTTAGAGCTACGATTTGCAGCCAGATCTAACTCAAGAGCACAGCCTGGGGGAAAAAGGAGTTGGGCTCTGTGGGCTCAAAGAAGATTGTCTCCAGTTCACAGGCCTGTGGTACCCTGTGCTCTGTTGAGGAAGTATAGATTTTCATTGCTTCCTGAATATTCTCACTCTGCTCAACCTGTGAGAGAGATCTTTCTTTGCAGCATGTTGTATTAGCAGCATGCAGCTGCTGTGACAAATTACCACATGCTTCGTGGCTTAAAATAACAAAAATATATTCACTCATAGTTCTCAACACCAGAGTTTAAAATCAAAGAATTGTGACTTCCGAGACTCTAGAGAGATTCCCTCCCTTGCCTTTTCCAGCTCCAGTGGTTGCCGGCCTATGGTGCAGCACTCCAGTTTCTGCCTTAATCTTCATGTGGCCTTCTCCTCAGCGTCTTTCTATCTTTCTTGTGTGTCTTTTGTAAATATTCTTGTCATTAGAATTAGTGTCCACCCTGAGGATGTAGGATGGCTTCTTAATAATATCTGCAAAGACACTTTCCAAATAAGGTCACATTCTCAGGTTCTAAGAATTACAACATAGACAGGGGCTACCATTCAACCCACAGCAACCAGGCAAGTCCCTGAACTTTAGCACAGCTACTTTTCCATGGGATTGACAGATTATCAGCAAGATTTTACAACCTGATTTTTCAAGGATGTTTTCATGCTTTTAAAATGAACGAGCCAATAATAAGTCCAACTAAGGCCTCTGGCGCTTCTTCCAAGATGGCCTCAGCATCTCACAAGGTTTTGTTCTCTTTCAGATTGCTGATCTGCAGCTCCATAAACTGGATGAACTTGACTGTCTGATTCAGGGTCTCCTTTATGTCGACTCCGTTGGCTTCAATGGCAAACCGGAATGTTACTATTTTGAAAATCCCACAAATCCTGAATTGTGTCAGAAAAAGCCATACTGCCTTGATAACCCGTACCCTATGTTGCTGGTTAACATGGGATCAGGTGTCAGCATTTTAGCAGTGTACTCCAAGGACAACTATAAAAGAGTTACAGGGACCAGGTAAACATATTTTCCACTAGGTGAACCTCTTTGTGCTTAAACCCAGGCCTCTTCCTTGATGACCATTGTATAGAAAAACACTATCTATATTGAATTTATTTTTTTTAAGTCTTTACCTCCACAAATCAAAAAGGAATTTATTAGAAAGAGTAAGAAGGTGACTTATATAAAAGTTAGTAAGACATAGTCTTTGCCTTCTGTAAATTATGAGCAGGTTGAGGAAAGAAGGGTTGCGCACATTAGAAGTATACCAACAGGATGGTATGTATTAAGTGACAATGGAATAGTAAGTCCACCAGAAGCCAGATAGAAGGAAGCTTGGCATGGTCAAAGAAGGCTTTGGAGAAACCATTTTTTTAAATTTCACTGGTGCTTAGCACAGGATGAATTGCTTGAATTAATATGTCATTCCAAACATCAAACAAAACAAGGTCAACAAAGAATGCATTTTCCCTTCAGATAAATACTTCAGCTAAAAACTGAAATAGTAAGGACAGTTCATAGGGAATTTGGGGATTCCACAGACAGGAAACCAGACCTATGACTACAGTTTGTCGAATAGTTTATTTTTAGTTCACATACCTGAGACCCATATGGAGGCGAATGGGCTCAGCTTTCTGTTAATGGGAATTCAACACGGGAAGAGGATCCTTTGGCAAGTATCTCTGAGAAACCATAGTGTAAACAAAATTAAACAAGCTTTCCTTTCTGAGGCATTTCTCTAACTTATTGGACCACACAACTCTTTTTTTTTTGGCCCCAGGGATCAAACTCAGGTCTTTGTGCTTACGAGGCAGGCAGCAGAACCACTGAGCTAAATCCCCAGCCCTCACACAACTCATTTTTAGAGGAACAGCTTAAGGAACTAGTGCCATGTAGACTGTGCTTGAGACATGATATTGAAACCATTGTTTTTGAGAAATATCATGTTATTTCTCTGAGTTTCATTATCCTCATTTCTGCCATGAACAATGTTGTTTAGATGGTTCTTATAGATTTTCCAGGACTGAAATTCTGTAGTACTACTCCCAATTAGGAGGTAAGCTCAGCTTTTCTAATGTTTGTGATGGCTTATGATAGGTCATAAATCAGTGATTTCCCCATTGAAGAGGGAAGATGAGTTCCCCAGGAGGTGTTAGACAATGTGTGGAGATATTTTTTAGTTGTAACCACTGGAGGTGAGATGCTACTGGCATCTAGTAGGTTGATATCAGAGATACTGCTAAAATATTACAATGCTCAGGGTAGCTCCTCCAAAAATAAAAAATTATGAAGCCCCAAGTGTCAATGGTGCTGCTATTGAAAAACCTTGGTTTCATGCGTGCACACACACGCACGCACACACACACACTGACTGAAGCCTGCTCAGGTCCAGAGTGTAGACTGTCTTATGTCAGTTTATTATTACTAGGCATACATTTTCTCATTGAGAATACAGAAGCTTACATACTTTCTCAAATGCTCAGACAAAACTGACCCCATGTCCATTTGGAACTGTCAGGAGTATCACACACAGGAATAGTCCCAGAAAGGATAACTGAATTGTTAAAGCTAGTCCCAAGGAACAAAAAGCTAAACATTTTCCAGAATTAGAGATATTTACAGTTTTATTGATAAATACAACACAGGTACATTCTCAAACATGGAAATTGTAGGGATCCGGATCCTCTTAAATAACTTCTAAGGAGCTATTGCAATGTTTGGCTTCTTTTACACAGGAGTAATACTTGTAAATTCTAGCTATTGTTAAATGCTTGTTAATGACCAGTATCCTGCAATCATCAACAAATCCTGTCTGGATGCCCAAGCTTCCTTGTAAGCTTTTTCTTCAAACAGTGGATTTCAAAACATGCTACAGGAGTCTCAAGGGTAATATGTGCCTCTCAGGGGCTTCCACAGGTAGTAGATGGGAATGAAACCTCAAGTCTGTGGAGCCCCTGATCTTTGCCTAACTAGAATTATTAAGTTTTGAACTGATAGTTATAACTCCGAATTTTTGTTACTGTAGGATACCATATTTTCCCATTATGTCATTACAGGATATCAGATTTCTTTTAAATATTATTTTAAAAGATCTGCTTTTTTATAATTTTGTTGTATCACAGAATGGGTAGCCATGTATTTTTTTTCCCCTAATTTTAGTATGGAGGCCACTGGAAAAAATAGTACTTCACAGCTAACATTGTTAGAATGTGTAATCTTTTAAGAGAGGAATGCAAAAACTTTGATAAAAGTAGTACATCTCATCTGGTCATTTGAAATTCATTTTAAGGGCACAACCATCAACAATCAATGTTCTGCAATTCTCAGCAATTACGAAAATGAGTAACTGAAGATGCCTTCTACTTTCTAAAATATTTTAATATGATGAGAAATGATAATAGTGAGTTGCTCTACAAATATATTTTTGACTGTGACATACTGAAGATTTTACTGTATCTGGCAAAACAGACATCTCATGTCTGATCATGAGCAAGGAACTCATTTGACTAAATAATGGTTAACAAGCTGAGGATATTAATAAAAGTGCTAGAAGACTCTTGGCTCTTCTGTGACCTTGCATTCTTCCCTCCTATTTGCAGTGTCTCAGCTGTGCTAATGCATGCTTGCTTTCCCCACTCAGCTCTTTATCTGGAGTCACCTGTCATTTTCCAGTTGTATTTGCCCCTTTTCACTATACCAGCACATCAGTTGATGAGTTACCTTCTTTCTAAGTCAGCCAATATCTTCAGTTGCCTACCTTTTGAGTAGCTTGTTGAATTCTTTAAGATGAATCCCTGTTGTTAAAAGAAAGGTTATTAGGAATAAAAGATACTGAGAAGCTAGAAATGTGAACAAAGACTTCTTTTAAAAAATATAGAAGGCAAAAACAAAACAAATCTAGATGGCAAACAAACCAAAAGAAATTTCCATTCATTAAAACACATTAGCGGGGCTGAGGATGTAACTCAGTGATAGAGTGTTTGTGTGGAATGTGGCAGGCACTGGCCTCTAATATCACACACACACAGCCCATACTTACCTTTGTAGGATAGCACAATATGCCGTATTAAATATAAATGCAGATAACTTTCTTAGAAGAAATCCAGACTTCCTAGTGTGACTCATTTGTCACTAAGACTTTATATGGAGTTTGTTGTTTCCTCATGCCATTGCACCCACAATTTGGGTAACTGCTACTGACCGTGGCTAACTAAATAATTTTCCAAAGACCCATAATTTTAGCCAAGGAGCATTGTTTTGTTTTCACTTTGTTGGGGATCAAATCCAGAGCTTTGCACGTGCTAGGCAAATGATCTAACAATGAGGTATACCCCCAGCCCCAGGATATATTTCAATAAGAAACACAGTTTAAAACTATTATGTACTTTTCTTATAAGTGTAATTTAAAGAATTATGTACATGCCTACCTATAATCTAATTCTTCTTTATTGACCTTTCCTAGCCATAAACCTCATGTACCCTTAATTTCCTTATTTCTAAATTTAGTTAAAAATAACTTTAATCCCAACTTAATTTTTTTCTTAGAACTAAAAGCAAATACTCAAAAGCAAATTGGGTTCCCAGAGCCAGTAGTTTTTCAGGATTTCAGAACCAATTGATATAAGCAGCTTTCTTATGTTTATTCTTCCATTTGGCAAACAAAAGGTCAAACCTGTGTTCAGGTCTAGAAATCAGAGCTTCTTTTCTTACTGTGAGTCCCCTGATTGTTGCTTTACCCCTGAGAGTCCGCTGGTGATAGCTTTACCCTGAGTCTGTTTTTCTTTCTACCAGGTAACTTTGATAGTAACATACAATTTAGTTAATTCTCAACTGCTATAATTTGTAATTTTGTCTAAAAAGACCATTTTAGAGGAATTTTCCCCAAAACAACTGAAAGGTTTTAAAACATAGCTCAAGCATTGGAACCATTTTGTGGCCTTTGTTACTAGTTTTTCCTCTTGAGGAGTAAGTAAAATACCAGTAACCTTTCCTGAAGTTTACCAGAAAAAACTCCAACATTACATAGATGAGTAATTTTGTTCTCAAAATCTCTGAGGAGGTGGAATGTGAGTCAAGCAGGAGGTCGAGTGAAGTCAAGCAGAAGGCAGCCTTTGAGCTGGTTGCTGCTGGCAGAGTCCTAGTTCTTTTGTCACCAGAGAGTTTGGCTCCACAGTGGTGAACTATGGTCACATTTTTTTTCTGGTTGTTTGTGTTTAGCTTACGTTTGTAAAATATCATTCATTTCTCTGGTTATTTGCTTCTTTCCGACCACGCAAATAAAAGAGATTGTGATTTGCCCGTTTTATAGGCGGAAGACTGAATAAAGTGTTTAGGTTAGTGGCTAGTTGAAGGTCTCACAATCAGTGAGAGTGTTTCTTCAGTTTTGTTCTCAAATTTAGGAGCAAGTTTTCTTTGGTGCTTAATTTTGGCTTCTGCCCTCTTTTCTTATCCAATGTATCATAAAGTTCTTTTGTACTCTACCACTTTAATTCAAGTGCCCCTTTGCATTTGTTCTATTTTTCTTAACCTATATTAATAGTCTTAATGTAGCTGGGGACTTGGATGGGCATACCTTAAAGTAAAATTTAAAAATAAACCTTATTGTTCCTTCAGTCTTGGAGGTGGAACATTCCTAGGCCTATGTTGCTTGCTGACTGGTTGTGAGACCTTTGAAGAAGCTCTGGAAATGGCAGCTAAAGGCGACAGCACCAATGTTGATAAGCTGGTGAAGGACATTTACGGAGGAGACTATGAACGATTTGGCCTTCAAGGATCTGCTGTAGCATCAAGGTAGAGACTAAATAGCTAGGAGCAGTAGTGATTAAACTTAGAGCAAGCCTCTCCACCCGGGCCATTCATTTAATTATTTTAAAAGTTTTATCCAACCAGCATGGTGCAAGTATCTATCACATCAGTCTCAGGATTGATCTCCTGTCCTTTATGAAGCACTGAGATATTTCGCTTTTGATGTTTATACTTAAAATAAGGCAACTTTGAAAGAAGGTTCTGGAAAACTGCAACAGTTTCCACTGTTCCATTCTTAGCCAGACATCTACAGGCATTAAAAGTCCCTCACTCTCATTAATGACCATACTATTCTGTCTTTGTTAAGGAAGGGACTGCCAGCCATCCATACTATGATTCTGTCTGCTTTTAAATTGTGGTAGCTACCATGTGTGGTCTTTTGAGTTTGAACAGCCATTCGGAGCTTTTCACAGTACCAAGGTAGAAGCATGGGTCCTGCTTGAGGATGATTTTGAACGCTCTTACTGATATTTCCAACATAGCTTTGGCAACATGATGAGTAAAGAAAAACGAGAGTCCATCAGCAAGGAGGACCTTGCCCGGGCCACACTGGTTACCATCACTAACAACATTGGCTCCATTGCTCGGATGTGTGCACTGAATGAGGTAAGATCTTAACCCAGGGAAAGCCATGTGTCATTCTTACACATTATTTTTGGTAATGTGATTAGCTGTTTTCTCCTATAAAACCAGGTGTACATCCTCAGGAATCCTGCCCTTTACTGTGTAATCACACCTTACAGGGTGTGTGTTGCATGTGTTTTAACTGGAAACAGGATAATACACGATAAACTATTGAACCATGGAAACAGTTAAAATTCCTGCCCATGACATAACCTTTCTAATATCATTGTCATGTGCCCCTTGAAATGTGAGGAAAGCTCTGACTATCCTTGTAAACAATTGTAGATAAAATGCTTCGACTTACAATATTTGATATTCTCTCTGCTTTTAGCTTCTTTACAGTGTTGCCTTGTGGCATGGAGTTCAAGCAGCATTGTACAGGGCTATCAAAGCACAGAGAGCTTGCCACAGCCAAGGCCACCCAGAGCCCCAGGCATAAGAATGTGTGGAGTTGGTGACAGAGAAAGCCTCATTCACATGTCTTAAAACACTGCAAAATTATTTTAAAGAAAAATGGACCTCTTCTCTGCATTATAAGAATTATAAGATAGAACAACTCTCTTACTGAATTGTGTTAGGAGAACAAGAAAAGGAAGTTGGGGCATAGTACCAAAAATAGGAGAAATAGAGAAACAGATCAGCATTGGAGTTTTATTTATTATTTTTTAAATTTTCACATCTATTTTATTTCTCTTTATGCATCTCAAGTTCAGTATAAGCATTTTTACATTTTTCCCACCAGATTTTTTTTTAACTTTTCCCTAAATGCCAAATGGTTTAATAAAGACAATGCTGAAAGCAAATACATGGTAAACAAGTGCCCTGTGCTGATGTCCACTTGATAATTTCATAAGCAATAGGTCTTCAACTGCTGAGCCAATGGGCATGATCCATTCCTGTTCTGGCAAGATGTATTTGGCTTAAAGATTTCAATCATAATTTATGTCTAGTTTCAAAGTGTGAGTTACTAGAATATTTGAAGTGTTCCCGCATCAAGTTGGCCCATATGGGTTTCCTCCAGTAAAGCTGAATCTAGAAAAGCCATCTAACAGACCAATGAGAAGATTCATCTTTGGTAGGAGTGTTTTACAGGATAAGAGGATTATTCAGTAGTCATTGTTAACCTACCTACAAAGAGAAACAGATGCACTTGCAAAGGTATTTAATCTATATCACAGTTAACTGGGATTCAGTGAGTCAGTAAAAATTCTCAAAACCAGTTTTATTAAAATTCATCATATATTTGTTTAAATGCCTTACCACGGAAGTCAATTTATTCTTCAAAGATTATTAATTACATTGAACACAAAGTTTCTGTTCTAGACATGGTTTAAAAAGTCAACATTATTTTTCATTGGATTATTGTGAAAAGTCTCAGTTGACATAGATTTATGTTACTTGAACTCAAGCCTCCAGTAGGTCCTTATTTTCTACCACAGCATGTGAAGTTCATCAGAAAATTTATTCTGATGGGGAATTTTAAAATAAATAATTTTAATAGAAATCTGACATACATATAGAAGACAGCTAAATTTGTAACTGTACAACTCAGTGAATTTTCACAGACACACACATGTCTTGGATAGCCACCATTTGGATTAAGCAGGGGAATGGGGAAAAAATAAGAACCAAGATTGATTATGTAAAGGTACAAATTTCCAATAGTGAATGTCATTATATTGTATACATTAAATGTACCAATAAAATTAATTAAAAATAAAGTAATTTTCCCTAAAAAGGAAATAGAACATTACAGATATTTAGAAACCCCCACTCTAGAAGAGTAAGGAGCTCAGTTGAATAGTGGAGTGTTAGGGTACAAGGCATTCTTTATAATGGGTAGGTACTACCCCTGCCTTTTAGCGTTGGGGTTACAAAAGAGATACCTATCATAACAGTGACATGTGATGGGGTCACAACATTTTCAGATGCAGTTTAAATCAGAGGTGATAATCAGTTATAAATATTTTAGAAAGTGCCTTTTCAAAGTCCACTTTGCTCAGGAGATTCATCGTAACAGGTTTACTTTTTGGCATTAACCTTTAAAGAGTGTTTTTCCACATAGCCAAACAAGCTGTAAGACTGATGTGTGTGTAACTGGCTGTACTCATACACTCTCAAAGTTCAGTTCCATGGTAATACCCTTTGCTCCACAGAACAGTAGATGCCCCTTTCCCCTACTTTCCACACAGCTGCCTTTGGCCTTGCACTTGTGGCTGGAGTGAGCCAGCGGGGCTTTTCACAGGTATCATTAGTCCCTGCAGGAGAAGACTGCTGGCTATTTTTCACTATTTGGAAATGAGGTCATGTTATATACCGGTTTGAGCAACAACCTTAGATATTTCTTTTTTTTTTTCCTCATTGAGTTTATTGGTACATTTTAGGTATACAGTACAGTTACATTCATCATTGGGATCTTGTACCTTTACATGACGGGTCTTGGTTCTAATTTTTTTCCCCTTGTCTCTGCCCTTCCTTCACCCCCTCCTCCCCTCCCCATTTACAAACATTTTATTTCCATTTTTTCATTGTCTCCTATTTTTTTTCTTTCCCTTATTACCTTTCCCCTGCCCTTCCCACTTTCCCTACACCTTTAGCCCTTTCTTCCTATTTCACATTGTTAATTATCTCATTAGGAACTTGTGTACTATTATAGTTTGTTCACACCAGAGAAACTATTCAGTATTTACACATGTGTGACTTATTTATTTCACTTAGGAGTATATCCTTAATATGTATCCATTTTCCTGTGAATGAATCTAATTTTTCATTCTTTATGGCTGAGTAATATTCCATTTTATAGAAAAACCACATCTTCTTTATCCAGTTTCCAACTGATGGTCAAATGGGCTGTTTCCAAGCTTTGGCTAACCTTAGATATTTCTATAAAGCTTAATGAATGGAGGAACTTCATTTATTCCCTTGGGGTCAAGGCTTCTTCAGAGGGTGTGCAGCCAGTGCAGGCTCCCAGGGGACACACCAGTGACTGGCGACATCAAATTTTCTTGTGAGAGCAGGAATCAAGGTTTTTAGATATTGCATTGCTCTGTGGAGTTGTGGACTTGAGAATCTTTGATCCCAACCATTTCACAGAGGATGGCACCACATTTACTGATCTAAAACCAGTGATGATTAGAATGCTATGAAATACTTCCTTATCAACTTTAAATTTCCTCATTTATATTTTTGAATAGAGAATACAGACATAATGCTGTGTTCTGAAGACAGCAGAAAGACCTAGCAGGAAATGAGCCATCACTTTCATCCTGTCCCTCAGTGTGAACCTCACTAGATATAGGCAGCCCTAGGTTTCAGTTAGTTTGTTTCTACCTTTATTGTATGTAATATAAAATTAATATATCTTTCCAAAGATAGTGAACTCTGCATAGTGTTCTTTTTTAAAAAAAATGTTTTACTGACTATAGTCACAAACCATACAATTCACTCTCTATGTGCTCTTCTACATCTTACTTTATCATTTTCTTATTATGAAAACAGGTAAACATACATATGGAAAAGAGAAGAGTTTAAAGAACTTCCACTTATCCATCAATTCCAATGTCAAGACATTGCCCCACATGCTATATCTTTTCCTTCCTCTGCTCCTTTCAACTCGATTTTTTTTTGCTAAAATATCAGAAAGCAAGTCCCAGCTATTGTATCAATCTAGATGTATTTGTATACAGCTCTGAAAATAATTGCATTTTGCTTTTTAAAATAACGCACCTTTAGCTCGTTCATATCAATATATTTTAAATAGAGATACACTGTTTTAATTTGATTTTCTAGTGAGGTTTAATTTTTTCTACTGTATTTCCACTATTACAAAGTTTGCAAAGCCAGGCATGGTGGTGCACGCCTGTAATCTGAGTGTAAACCAGCATTCAGAAGGCTGAGGCAGAAGGATCACTGAGAGTTCAGGGTCAGCCTAGGTTACATAGTGAATATAAATCCAGCCTGAATTTCATAGCAAGACCCTATCTCAATAACTTTCCTTCCCTGCCAGAAAGAGCATGCAGTATATTTATAAATAGTATACACACAGACACACTAAATACTGTATGTAATATATATATATATATATATATATATACACACATATATATATATATATGGCATATATACAAACACAATTTTGCATACATGTCATTATATCTATAGGATAAATTCCCAAAAAGGAGATTGCTGACTCAAAAAACATGTTGAATGTAATTTGGCAAATATAAAGTTCCCTCTATAAAGATGGTTCTAATTTATATTTCCAGCAATCAAGAGTATAAAAATACAAATTTCTCCAAAGAAGGTTATCAAATTTTTCACCTTTTCAAACAATTGATTAGGTAACAAAGCAATTTTTATATTATAGGTGCTGGGAATATTTCCTGTTTATTGCTTACTGCTTGGATTTGTTTGTAGTGATTTTCCCCCTGAATAAATGTTTGACTTTTTTCAAGTAAATATACCAACTTTTAGTGAATATTGAGCATTGTACCTTTATTTAAATGTTTTAAATGTTCTCCATTAGTCCTTTATGTTGGCCTGTTTGCCTGCCTGTCTTCTTTCCTTCCTTAGGAAAAGAATGCCACCATCATAGATTCTCTTGCTTTTTATGAGTGACCGTAACAAACTGCCTCTGTGCAGAATGAGTACTGAGCGGTCTGTGCAAGGAACAGGCTGAGCTCAGTCTTAAGCTTAAGAAATACCCTAAGGAGTGGGAAGTGCTGTGAGGCACAGTACACTGGGGATGGAAGCCTGTCTACACGGACAGGACAGGAGAGGAATGTTCATACGTGTGTGTTCAGAATGCAAATCTACTTCCATAGTGACAAAAATGCAAGTGTATTTTGTGTCATCGTGTTTTAATCCATATGTTGAGCAAACAGGATCTTCTACATAACCTGAGGGCAGAGGGACTATTATTTCTGCTTTATATTCCCAGTATTCATCACAGAGCAAACTGTGAACCATGCCATCACCATCACCATTTCATTGATGGAAGTGTGGGGGATTAAGGTAATACACAAGAAAGTTTAGCTGAACTTGAACTCCAGTTTATCATTTTATATGTGACATGAATTTCACATCAGACCAATGCAATCTGACATAATAGTAGCAAGCAAGACCAGCATTTGTTTCTGCTCTGCCCTACCAAAATCTTACTCTCCAGTTTTTGTGGAATGCACTATGAGATTTGTTCAGTTTCATTTTAGAGATGTTGAAATAATTCCACTTAAAAATTCATTGTGCAAAGTTCTGTACTAAGACACACAAAACATTTGGTCCTTTCTAAATGTTACTTCTATGCCATATTCGTTTGTTTTTCTTTACGTTCTTTTTCAGAATATTGACAGAGTTGTGTTTGTTGGGAATTTCCTCAGAATTAATATGGTCTCTATGAAGCTGCTAGCATATGCTATGGATTTTTGGTCCAAAGGACAGCTGAAAGCTCTATTTTTAGAACATGAGGTAAGTTGAGCTTGCATAGATGTTAATTATCCTATGTGGAATGTATTTTGGTTTGTCTAAAATATGAACAGGTCTTTTAGTTTTAAAATTGACCAAGTAGAAAAACTGCCATTTAAACTTTGCATTTATGTGAAGGTTAAGAAAGAACTATATATAAAACAGAAACTTCTTTATCAACAATTGGTACCTGGTTGTCATAAAGAAAAGTCATTGGGAATGTGAATTTAGTGGACCCATTTTGGAAAATATTATGGAAATTTCTCAAAAAACTCAAAATAAATCTACCATTTGATACAGCCATCATACTTCTGAGTATTTACCCAAAAAATTTGAAATCGGTATGTTGAAGAGATGTCTACATACTCGTGTTCTTTGCAGATCTATTCACAATAGGCAAGAAATGCAATCAAAGTAAGTGTTCATTGGCAGATGAATAGATAAAGAAAATGTGGTACATAATAGCATACTGTTCAGCCTTTAAAAAGAATGAGATTTTGTCCTTTTTAACAATGCAAAATTGGTGAACATTATGCTAAGTGAAATAAGTCAAGCACAGAAAGACAAACAGCACATGATCTTCCTTATATGTAGACTGTAAAACATTTTAATTTTAAAAGGAGAGTGGAATGGTAGTTATAGTGGATGGAGATTGGCAGGAACAGGGAGCTAATGGACAAAGGAAACAAAACATCAGGAAGAAAAAGTTTTTCGATATCTGTCATATAGGATGGTGAATATAGTTAATAATAGTGTATTGTACATTTCAATATAGGAAAGTAAATTTCAAATGTTCTCACTACAGAAAAAGCTTAGTATTTAAGTGATGGTTGTGTTAATTAGCTTTATTCCATATTGTATTCATAAGTCATAATATCATTTTGTACTGTATATCAGTCACCTGTGCTGGACAAAATATCTGATACCTGCAACTAAAGAAGTTTACTTTGGCTCATGGTTTCAGAGGGTTCAGTCTGTGGTAGGCAGTCTCTGAAGCAGACCCGTCAGAGCAGAGGAGTGAGGGAGAGCAAAGCTCCTCACTTCATGGTGCCCAGGAAGCAGAGTGAGCAAGGAAGAGCCAGCGGAAAAGGGTGGGGGGCATGGACTGGTTATAGTCCCAAGGTCATTCCCCTACTCCTCCAACTAGGCCACACCTCCTAATACCCTATTCAGTTATGAAGTCCTCACCATTGATGAGATTTGTACCCCCACAATCCAGTCAACTTTCCAGCAATCTCTTCCTCCTGTCATACTGACAATGAAAATTAACTAGCACACATCCTGTAAACATATACCGTTATAAATTGTCAGTTTACAATGAAATTTAAAAACTGGCAGCAACAATAGCAAAGGTCCTGCCATGCCGTGACACATCCATACCATCACAGCAGTAACTGTCAGGCAAATGCCGCCATAGCAGTGCCATCTCTTGACTTTGGAAACCTGGTTGCTAGGGATTGAATATTTGAATGTCACCCCTCCCCATCCCAATTCATGAGTTGAAATCCTAACCCTCAAGATGATGGCATTAGGAGATGGGGCCTTGGAGAAGAAATTAAATCATGAAGGTTGACCTCTTATAAATGGGATTTGCATTCTTACAAAAAAGCCCAAGAGAAATGCCTTGCCTCTTCTGCCAGGTGAGATCACAATGAGAAATACAGCAATCTGTAAAATATTGGCCCTCAATAGATACCTTGATCTTGGCCTTCCCTGCCTCCAAGAATCTAAGAAATAAGTTTCTATTTATTTATAAAATTGTTTATAAACTTCCTAACTTAAGAAGTTCAACAGACTTAAGATGTAAGATTTTTAAATTTCTGGGATTTGTTTCCTTTCATTTTCAGAGAAACATGGGCTTCTATTTTACAAATGGGCAAAGTGAGGCTCAGGCTGACGTAGGAGCCTTTCCTAAGTCTACTGACAGAAGTAGGGCTTTCTTCTGTGAGATACAGTTTTGCAGACAGGCAGCCTGCAAAAGCATTGAACATTGAGCCCTGGCACAAGTCTTGAAGGGACAGCAATTTACTTTGCTACCTTTTATTTCTCGTCTGTGAAATAATAATGTAAATTTTGTCATGGCAAAAATTGAAATGAAATAGTTATGATACTAGCAATATTCAGCATTTACTTAGTACAAATCATGTGTCAGATACTATTTTAAGCACTTTACATGTGTTAACTTATTTAATACATATAAACAAGTGGGCATTCAAAGAATTTTTGCTATTTCACCATGTTTCCTAGCAAAGAGTTGTTTTGTTTTGTTTAGGGTACTGGAAATTAAGCCCATGGGCTCACTTGTTCTAAGCATGCACTGTACTACTGAGCTATATCTCCAGCCTGAGAATTCAGTTTTCAGTTTTCTCCTTCATCTATAAAATAAGGGGGCAGCATTCCTCAAATTATTAAAAGAAATAGTTCTTTGGCTGCGGTTCAGAGACAATCCTACAGAAGTTTTCCATTGTTTTTGTAGGGCTATTTTGGCGCTGTTGGGGCCCTGTTGGAACTGTTCAAAATGACTGCTGACTGGAGAGATGAACAGTAGTCGCAGTGGCCTCCAGTGAGGACAGAAAACTGACAGCTGCTGTGGCCTGGATGGAACTTGCTATGGAATGGAAGCCAAGCCATTATGGCAGATTGAACCTGCTGGATTTGTAAATAATTTAAAATCCTTCTAGCTGATCTTTTATTCTTAGGTTTTGAGCTTATGATTCAGTGGGGAATATAAGAGTTTTTTTCTGTATACTGTATTTTTTAAAAAAATTTTTTGTGCAGTGTGGCCAAACCTATCAATTTTAAGCATTAACTTTGAAAAATTGTATGACGTCTAAAAGGACCTGATATGTAAGTGCTGTTCATCTTTCTTCTGGGGTTTACTGATCCGTGTGATAATTTTAACTTCATTTAGTAATTACTCTAGGAGATTTTACCTTTACTTATATTTTTCATGACGTTTCATGATTTACTGTTGGTTTCAAATGAAACTACAAATCTGGCATGTTTTACTGTGAACACTATTTTTGTTTGTTTGTTTTTCCTTTTTTGTCTTTTCAGTATGAATGTCTTATGGGGGAAAAGAAACTTTACCCCTGTTTGTATCTTTGAATGCTTTCCCTCTCTCTCGCTTTCCCATAGGTTTTCTTTATTGTAATTTTTCATATCAATCAAGGTGCTGATCAACTCATAACAAAGTTAAACACCAAATCTAAAACTCTCGAGAATGCCCAAGAAGAGAAGACTCAAAAAGTATTAAAACATTTAACGAGTTTGGCAAAAAAATAAAACTACATGCAATTTTATTTTATATCTTATAAATATGGTGTTTCATTGGATGTTATGCTACTTTATGTTAAATTGAAATATTCTGTGATAAAATGTCCTTACCCATGTATACATATAAGTGACAGCAAATCCTTGTACAAGAAATTTGGAAATTAATGGGGAAAATCTCCCAATAGGTGAATTGTTTCTATCAGGTATAGGGGAAATCATGATTTGAGGTGTCAAGTAGTAATAGCTATCTGTTTTGTACATGTATGTACCTAGGAGCTTTGTAACAAGACATCTTAATAATGTTAAAATCCTCTTCGTTCTTAATATTTTAAGCTGAAAACTGGACTTTAATGCCAGTTTCTAAAATTAAAAATTAATTTATGATACTGATCTCTATATAATTTTTTAAAAGATTCCACTAACTTTCAAATAAGTGTCTTGTACACAGATTGGAACGCAGGAGATCTAACGGCCTGAGCGATCATTGAAAGGGATTTTTGAAGGGCAATACAATTGCTTCATGATGAATCTTCCTTTCTCTGCCTTCTGAGCACCATTTTTAATTTCTATATCTTTGTCTTCAAGAAATTGATGCTAATTAAGAAATTTACTTGTCTGGTTGAAATAAAGCCTGTTTCTGTTGTGATGTTTTTAGTGTATATGTTATTTTCATTTCTTAATCCTTGTTTTAATGTGTTGTGTTCTTGGTACTCTACATTGTATAATTTGAGGTTTTCTCATAAGTGTGGCAAGGTCTAAAACTGTGTCTTCAGTCAAAGCTGTAGCCCTACATAGAGATTTTTTTTTTTTAAATTTAGCTTCATTGTTCTTATATGGCTGATTCCTTAATGCCAAACTGTCACTGATATACTTGATTCCAAAGGAGTTCAAAATGTGTTCAGCACTAATACATTTTATCAACTTCTGCCTGGCTTGAAAAAATTCAAGGAACTAAAGTGTTCTTAAAAAAGATAATATTTCCATATTACTATAATTAGTGCCTTTTGACCCCTTCTTTCCATTCTCACCTATATCAACAGACAGCAAACCTTGGATGTGTAGATTGTTGTCCTGTGAAGGAAATTGGGGAAAATTATTGTAACTGTATTTTTTAAGTTACCTGAAATCATTTGCTGTCTCATTACAAACTTCTGAAACATTACTTTAGCTGAGGAAATAACTTAAGTGTTGGCTATATATAGTGAGGCAGCTTTACAAGGAAAACTTGTAGCCTGAGGATTTTCACATTCACTTGAATATGGAGACTTTCTGTAGACTGAACCTCACAAAGAAACAGCAAGACTGAAGAGGTTTTATCTCTTGCTGTATGAAGGTAGGATGGCCAGGTGGTCCAATGCCTGGATTTTTATTATGACACATTTGGATTGGATCCACCTTAGCCAGTTTCTAGCTGTGCAGGCAAAATGATAAATCTATCCAAGTCCAAGTTTCTCACTTGTAAAAACGGGCAAATAATGGTTCACATCCACATTTAAAGAACTTAATTCAAGGGTGACACATAGTGAGCACTTCATTTATGTTAATTGTAATTTTAAAATAGATATTTTAAACAAATCCATTAAATCAGAGATTCTTAACGTTCTAGAATACAGAGAACTCCATTTGGCGTGGAGCTATGCCACAGTATCTGGGTGCAAGTACAGAGCCACAGCTTCTTGTCCGTAATCTCAAAATTCCCCACTCTATTTTTTGTTTTCTTTTCTTTTTTTGAGACATGTTCTCTCTCTGTAATTCTTGCCTTGAACTCATTGTGTAGCCCAGACTGGATTTGAACTTGCAGCAATTTTCCTGCCTCAGCCTCCTGAGTGCTGGGATTACAGGTGTGCACCACTATGCCTGGCTCTCAACTTTTAAAATTTGCTTTGATGACCTGCGTGGCAGCAAAAGTGAACCTGAGTGTTATTTGTCACAAATAATAGCCCTGTTCACTTGTTTTGTTGAGAGCTTTTAATATGTTTGATTATAGGGTATGAATCCTAGGGTGTTAAGTAATAAATGTTTCTGAATTTTAAATGTATCTGGGCCTAAGAATTTTAGGTAAAGGAACTGTGGAAATAAAGCTGTATTTTTCATCTTATGCTATATACATGGATTCAGAGTTCCTTTGTTGAGAACTATTTTATGGGTAATTATATTTTATGTCTTTCAGTCATACAAGGATATTAAGAAGCTAATGTGTACTAGGAAGGAGATGGAGACTAAGGAATAGCAACATTTCAAGCCATCATATATAATAATGAACCACAAGTGCCATTTATTAATTCACAGATATTTACAACAGTAAACAAAACAAAGATCCACTATGACAGGGCTTATATTTTAGAAATAAAGACAGATGCATTGCTAAACATATAATGTTAGATCAGGACTACAAAGAAAAAGTAAGCTATAGTATGCAGTAGAGCAGGGATAGTTTTTTTTTTAAGAAAATGAGAAGGGGAGGCATTTTCTTAGTTTGGAAGGTCAAGGATAACCTTTCACAGCAGGTTCTATTTGAACAGGAAATTGACTTTGGGAACGTACTGTAAAACCCCAGGAGGACAATTTTTTCAGTCATAGCAAATGAGAATGAGTTTGAGGATCTGCAAGAAGGCCAGGGCCTTTTGTTTATTTTGTTTTGTTTTTAAAGAGTGGTGAGAAATGCAGTTTTAGAATATCTCTTCTAGGAGGGTGCTAGAAAAGGTTTCAGGCACTCTTTACCAATGAGTACCAAGTGGACAAAGACGGGAATGCTTTCCTCACAGAAGAAGCTGAGCAAGCAGAAGCTCTAAGGGAAGGAATAGCCTGGCTTCTTCAGGAAACTGGAAACCATTTGCTTCAGCTGCAGCCTTGTTGATGAAGGAGAAACCAGGTTTGGGAGAAGAAACTAGCCCAACTCTAAAAGGACCTATATTCCATGCTAAAGAGTTTGGATTCTCTGAAGCCAAGCCATGGCAGGGTTTTGAATAGAGTGAAAGGAGAAATAATCTAGCTTCAAAATGATAGAGCAAATTGTCCTCTTGAGGTAATGAATAAGCCAGTTATTTGGCTTTTGAACACAATGCCATTCTTTTATCAGGTTTATTTGCCCTATGTTGTCATTTTTCATGCAGTAACTATATAGCAGACTACCTTTGCTCTGTAACTGAAAAGGTTAGATACACTCCTGAGAATTTTTCTGAGAACAAAGGCTGCTTATAGCTACAATCCACTATGAATCTAATCAGTGAATAGGAAGGTTTCAACACCAGGGATCACCCTACACTCATGCAGGAATTATGAGAGAGAAGGCAATTTTACTCTCAGTTATCAGAAGATGATGCCAAAGTTGTGAGGAATATTTAGTTACTGCACACTGCTTACTAGTTCTACCAGGTGCTTATTCACTTGCTCTATCAGTTAGTTTTTACTGAATACTGATGTGGGAGGCGTTGAGTAACGTTTGGGATGCATTTGATTGTGAACAATACTGCAGGTCCCTGCTTTCATTGAGCTTACATTCTGGTCAGGGAGATAGACTAAGCATATAAATCAATGTCTTCATCACTTTCTCGTTGCGGGGACAAAAATATCTGACACCCACAAGTTAAAGGAGGAAGAGTGTATTTTGGTTCACAGATTGTAGAGGTTTCAGTCCATAGTTGCCTGGCTCCAAGGCAAGGCAGTGTGGCAGAGGAGAAAAAGCTTGTGGTAAGGTAGGTAGGAAGCAGCAAGCCTTCTTTCTTCTTTGCCTTTTTATTCCATCCAGGCCATGGGCCAATTGGTACCAGCCATACACAGAGTGAATCTTTCCTCTTCAATAAATCCATCATCCATACACAGAACTGTGCTAAACCAATCAGGAAACTAATCCAATATCCTGTGCCCATGACCTGGCCACTTTGCAAAAGCCTCACTTAGGAGCACAGGAGACTTTGGAGAAATACCTAGATATAAGCCATAACAATCAAATAAAAATATGATATTAGGGAATGATTAGTACTATGAAGAAAAGAAACAGGTTAAAATGATACAGAGACAGGAAAGGTATTTATTCATAATCAGACAGTTTGAGGACCCAAATACAATTAAGTCATGGTCTCAGCATTTTTTTTTTTTTTTTTTTTTTGAGACAGGGTCTCACTATGTAGTTGAGACTGACCTGGAACTTACTATGTAGCCCACGCTGGTCTCAAACTCACAGCGATCCTCCTGACTCAACCTCCCGAGTGCTGGGATTACAGGTGTGAGCCACCGTGCCCGGCTATGGTCTCAGCTTTTGAAGAATAGTTTCAATTTGCCTCCATTCTTGTCACCTCCCTGGCGAAAACAAAGATGTTTTGGGAAGCCAGTTTAATAGCTAATTCCTTTTATTTTTTATTTACTTAGAATATTTAATTTAGCTCACATTTATATTTAATATCAAGTATCTCAACATATAGTATTAATTTAGTAATACACTTTTTTACTACTCATTTCATAAACAATTTTATCTGAACTGTCCATTGTTAATGTATGTCTTTATCATAATCAGTCATTCGATAGTTTCCAGAGCACAAGTTTAAGTATTTTTTGAATCTATATATGATGTGTCCTTTTTTTCATCCAAGCCGCTTATTTTCATAATGATCTCAATAACTTCACTTTCCTAAAGTTTTCTACTGGTGATACAGTGTAACTATGTACAATCCTTTAAAGTCAACATTAAAAGGCTTGTTTACAAGTATTCATTATTTGCAATACAAAAAGAAAATTTGTATTACTTGTTTTTGCCACTTTTTACTCATTTCTAATAAGTTAAATTAAACGTCCCAAACTGGAATTTAGATGAGTTAATGTTTTCACCAAACAGTTCTCAGCCAGTCTACAGACTGGTTCATCTTTTTAAATTTAAGTTTGTTTTTTTCTTAATTTAAACATTTTACACACATCTTATTTAAAAAGTCAAACACTTACACAAGACTAAGAATAACGGGAGTATATCAGGGTTCGCTAAAGGAACAGATTTAATATAAAACATACATATGATATATAAAGGTTTTACAAATAGGCTTACAATGGCCCCCTGCAGAGTCCGAAGTGAAAGAATGCAAAAGGGTCACCTGCACACTGGCGCGCTGGAGGATCCAGGCAAAAGTTGAAGGCCTGGAGCTCACTGAGAAGCCTGGTGCAAGACTGTTTCAGAAAGCTGAAGGGTCTGCTTAAGAAGGTGGAAGAGGGCGCTGGGACTTAAGGTTCTGGAGATGAACATGGAAAGGCAATGGTGCAGACTGGACTTCTCTAAAGAAGCAAAAGGGAAGACTTCCTTCTTTCTTTTTCATTCCATCCAGGCTACCAGCCTTTTGGTTGGAGACGCCTATATCTAAGTAGGGTCTTCCCATCTCTGCAGTTTACAGATCATCCAGACACACCCAGAATTGTGCTCCGGCAGTCCACTTTAGTGTTTCTTAATTCAAGTTGACTACACAATGAACATCACACAGGAATAGCCGAGTTTTTGTTTGTTTTTTCCATGAAGTTGAACGTGGTGGCTTCTCAGAGAAGGGTAAAGTGATGGGGTAATGTTTTGAGTAGTTGCATGTCTAAACATTTCTGAAAATACATTTACTTTACCCTCATATCCACTGATGGTTTGGCAGGATATATAATTTTAACTTAGATATTATTATCCTCTGAAGACGTGGCCCTATTTTTGTTAAGCTTCTACTACTGTTGTAAGCAAGCCTAATGACATTCTGGTTTCTAATCTTTTTATGTGACTGTATTTCCTCTCTCTTTTGGAAACTTCTGGCTTTTTAACTTCTTATTTCAGCACCAACATGTAAAGAGAACAGGGATTTATTACTCCCATATTTACAATAAGAAAAATGCTAAGCAGACTGAAAGTCAATGACGTTTTCTTGGAACCATCAGAGAATAGAGTTGGCAAAGCAATCTGCCACCTGGAAATCTGAAGAGATAGGAAAAACAAATCCCAGCTGAGCTCGCTTTACCTTCCACCCACTGGTAAGATCTTTATACGATAATTCTGATGAATTACTGAAGGCCGAGTGTAGACAAGTGTAGGAGTGAGAAAATAATGAAGGGCTGTGATGTCACGGGAGGATTTGAACACTTTTATGGATTATAGTGCCTCCAGGAGCTTCATCAAGTTCTTAGGATGAAAAGCCAAGAAAAATTCCCTCAAGTTTCTAGCAAGGGGAGAGAAAACATTTCCTGTTGAAATATGTCCAGAGTGTTCTCTAAATGCTTCCAGAGAAGAAGATTGGCAGAGAAATCTCACCTCACTGGGGCAGAAGGAAGATGGCAATTGCCCAGCTTCAGCCCTCTTTAGCCTCCCTGCCTTTAAAGGAGTGAGGCACAGAGGAAAACACTGATAAAGATTGAAGCTCGGGGACATAGGCTACTATACAAGCGAGAGAATGAGAAGCACAAGGCTGCTTCCCTTCTCCAGATCTTTTCACCACATCAACAGGGCTCCGGTACAACAATGGTGGATTACAACTAAAAAAGCAGCAAGATGCAGGCTATTTATAAAGACGTTATTAGAGATACCCAAAGACAATGGTGGAAATAACAACTCTAAAGAAATTTGAAAACTTTGT